CTTTTTTAGGGAAAAAAAACCCTAAATTCTGGACCATGTAATATTTTAATTTGGGTCATTGTGTGTGCGTTTAAAGAAAAACACACGGGCTTGGGCATAAGTATATCATGGATGGGGGGCTTCAAGAACATAACCCCATCTAGGAAAAAGGCTTATGGGCCCAGTGGCTGCGCATTGGGCAGACCTTTTTCTGAAGAAACTGGAGCTCTTACCCAAAAAAAGGAATCAAATTATAGTGCCTGCTTTTTTTTTTGGGAATTACAATCAAGTCCTACAAAAGAGAAATAATTATGAAAAAGTCCTAATAACAATTTCAACAGCCTATAATGACAAGTCCTCTAGTGAGAATAACAACCTATAGGATTTGTTTTTCAATTATTTTCTTTGTCTGGGATCTCATTGTAATTCTTTTTCTTTTTTTTTCCCGCCAAAGCTTTAAATTAAACTTCGACGATGGCAAAAAGATAAAAGTAAACTGGCAGGCAATTGGTTAGGTGATCATCACACATGATTTGACTAAAGATTTCTCGACGATCAAAAGTAAATAAAAATTCAAATATATATACTATAAATTAGCAACTTGTTATATGATTCACTAAGTTAGTACAACTACTTTTCAACCTTATTGTTTCCGAAATTAAATGCCTTGATTTATGTACAAAGTAGTTCACAGCATAAACATCTGATATTATCCCCCTTTTTTTTTAAAATAAGAAACAATTTTTTTCGGAGTATAAGAAACAAATTGTCTTTGTCTAAGATTTTAAGGTTAATACAAACTTTGATTTTTTTTTTTTTAAGTTTACCCTCATTTTAGTTTTGGTCCTTCAAATTTCAAATAATAGGTTTTGGTCCCTCAAGTTTCTTTTCATTTAAAATATTTGTCCTTATAATCCAATAAAAACTTAGACCATTTTACTCTTTGAAGGATCAAAACCTATGATTTCAAGCTTGAGTGATTGAAACCGAAACGAAGGCAAACTTGATGGATCAAAAATTATATTAACTCTAATTTTAAAATGGTCTTGTCACTTTTACCCTTATTAAATATTCACTTATTATCTCTCTGAAATAAATTTTTACTCATTATCTCTCATATACTTTTTTTACAAACAAGGGAATAATTAGAAGAAGATGTATATATCTTACACATTTATTGCTTTTAACTAAATTTGACTAATAGTTTGATCCATATGATTTTGGTAGTTGTTTCTTATAATAAGGGATGGAGGGAGTATGTTTCACTCTATAATACTACTTTCAGCCCTTTATAAAGAACTAGTTGAAGATTTGATTTAATCTTAAATATAAAATCTCAATCCACCTTATCTATAGTATTTAGATAACTACCATAAAAAGTAATTTTTTACCACTATATAATTACAAAAGAGCTACTGCTTTTTTTTACAGTATATGTTGTGTTAAACACCGTAAAAAGATGTTGCTAAAACTGTTTTTTATAGTAGTGAAAATGAAATATTGTGAGGATGATTTAGCATTAGTGACCATCCATATATATATATATATATATATCTTAATACTACCTTTGATCTTAATTATAAGACCTCATTTGTAGTCCACAAATGAGGTCTTATAAATAGGATAGGAGGTAGTACATGTTATTAAAATTATCCTTGACTACATCTTAGTAGTGGTTTAATTTAATTACTGTCATATCGTGAATTAATTACTCCACCCGATATTTATTATAAGGATTTCTAACATGCCTCTTAATATAATGTTTTACTCAAAGTAATAATTTTTTATCTAATATCTCTGGTAAATTATAAAACTTTCTAAGTAATTAATCAAACTCTTTTAACTAATGAATTTTATTGAGGATAATTTTGACATTTTCTAATAAAAATTAATTTTAACTAGATTTCTTAATTTACATAAGCTGTTAATATGTACTTATAACTAGAATTTGGATAGGGAATAATAAATAATAGTAAGTCATTAGAACACAGTCTAATATGATGAAAAATTTATTGAAAAATAATGAAAATTTTCCAATAAATGAAATGGCTATTATATTTAAACGTGTGCACCATCATTGCCAAGTGCTTTGGAACAATGATATCTCACCTAACGCTCGTTTTTTACTCAAATTTTCACATCGGATATCCAAGTGAATTGAGACATAGGGTCCTACACTTAATTAATTGGACCCTTAGGCTGATAATTCCATGCTTAGAAAGGAAATTATTATGACATAGTTAAACATAATATTTATTTGAGGGTCCCACTTATAAGTTATACTAAGGTATATTTTAGCATATGTTGACTAATTTCTATCATTGTCTGTCCAAATTTTGTGAAAAACTGAAAACTTTCATGAAATTGGATGTGTGGTAGATAATTGGACAAAGCAAAACCGACAGCCCAAAGTGACTTTATGTTGAGAAACCCACAAAATATATTTGAATTTTTAAAATGGAATTAAAAGTGATGATCATTATACATTGTCAATGACTTCTATGAGGGAATATTATTGTTAGTTACTAATTTTTTATCATTATGATTGATGAGAGTGGGGAGTAAGTTGAGTCCAACTGTAATAATTAAACATTACACATTAGTTGCTTGGGAACAATGGTTCAAGCCAGGGTTATAGAATGGCTTATTTCTAGTTTGTCCTTTCATGTCAAAGGAAAACAAAATGACAAGTAAAAGAGGACCAAAATGGTAGTAAGCGGCATCACTCTCATAAAGAGAAAAACATATATTTGAATCTAGGAAAACACACTTATTGAGAATGCTTTAATCTTAATATTTCTGACCTAATAGCAATTAGTCTTAAATCCAAAGTAACTTAAGGATACTTTAAATTATGTAAAAAAAATAGTGCATATATATATAATTGTATCACATCATTACAGAAATTTAGTTTCAATTTTATGACATTTTATTTTTTTAAAAAAAACACACAATCACATGACTTCATGATTTTTTTTTTTGGGTTTTATGTGATTACTACATGATTTCAGAACGAATATTTGTATTCATTTAGCACGTAACTTTTAGTTGATGAATACAAAAAGAAGTAAGGGTTTGATGGGTGGCACAACCGACGCCCCATGCCCTATTATGGCTAAGGCAGTGACTTCCAATTGTAGGGAGAAGGACTTGGAGGCCTAATATTAAAAGTTGATTGCTCTAAATTATTGAAATGTCATTTAAATACTTATATTTTTAAGTGAAATTAAATGACAACACACAATTACCAAAAAGTTCCTTCTTTTTACAGAAAAAACCTATTTCTGTGGTAGAACTCTATCCCTATTGTCAATATTCAATTCATCATCAATCGCAGCCAGAGACACCATTGCCAGTGATTGGAACTACTATTGTTGATGGCTGGTGGAGCAGCCACCCTATTAGAGTTGAAGCGATTCTCAGTGCCCTTTTATTTTTTTTAATTAAAAATTTATAATCTTATTTTTTTAATTTTTTAAATCAAACTCATCAAAAAATTTTCTTCCCTTCTTCCATTTCTCTTGTACTATATATAACCATTTCTTCCATTTCTCTTGTACTATATATAAGATTAGGGTGTACGAAATTTTGATTGCCAAACCGTACATATAGATTAGCTTTCATCTGTGCAATGCTTTAATTTATCGTGATTCTAAATTTAAATTTAACATCATATAATACTAGTAGTATACTTACAAATGATGAATGCTTGTATAGGACTTGTTTTGGCTTTTAATTAAATGTATAATAACTGCTGGATTTTATTGTAATCGAAGAAACATAAAATATAAAGCCGACAGAAACTTGAAACAACAAAAGGAACCTTAGAAACAAGCAACTAGCTAGGTAGCCGCTATGAGTCTGATACATGAAGAGATCATTGTGGGAAGCATGTGGAAACATGATATAATGTGTGTGTAGATACATTGAACTTTATGAGGTGATGGAAGTTAGTAGGATGCGAAAAGATTTTGTCTAAATAATTAATGACCAACTTAACGTCAATCACGCAGACATGCTTTAAACTGATATAGCAACCTCACCATCTTATCAATAATCCTTTTATAAACCTCTCTTTCTCTCTCTCTGACTTCGAATTAAGCTTAACCTTACTCCATGTGTTTTCATTCATCTAAGGACTTCACACATGGGTTAGTTCTAGTTAATCTAACCCTTGTCCACAGTCTGATCTAATATCACGGCGACATTTAGTTCAAATCATCATTAATAAATTAATCCATAGATTGTTATGAAGCTTTTACCTGATTTTTAATTAAGGTTCTTGTGATCTTTTTTAATCAACTTTTTGTATTTTTTTTATTTGCATAGTTTTGCTTGATTTTAAATAAGTCCTCATACCTTCAGGTGGTTAATGACAAGATTAAAAAAAAAAAAAACTATAAGAACCTTATTAAAAATCAAGTAAAACTATATAATGATCTGATTAAAGGGGGAAAAAACTCAGTGACCCAATTAAAATGATGTGAAACTATAAGTGTTTGGTAATAAAAACTACAAAGGCCTGACTTTTTTTTTTTCCCAAAACAATTAAGGGCATGATTATAGCCTTATTAAATACTTTCTGATTTTATATGTAATACTCATTTTATAGTGTATTTTATAATACAAAATGAGTTTTATATTTAGAATGTGAAGAAATATTACACGTTGCCTTATTCACTACGAATAATAAGCATTGCTATCAATAGTATTATTAAATTATGGAAAGTATAGATTTTTAGACATTATTATTTTAATTTTTTCCACATATTTTAATGAGGTTTTTTTTTTTGCAGCATTATTTATTTGTATTCATTTTATATTTCTCCTCATATTTTAATATAGAGGTTAGATATCTTAAAACCATAGGTTATCGGACGAAATAAAATAATCAATGAATTACGTAATGTACTAACTTGCATGACACATAATTAATTATTGTCAACGTCACTTTCTCTGTGCTCACACGTTCAAGATCTGTTTAAATACGACAACATATACAATAGATATTCATTATCTGAGATCTCTGATCCATGACTTGTGTTCTATCTTCTGTGCTTTTTACCAATATGACAATTTTCCTTCCTGTCCCACAAATGATTTTGCTTTCCTGTTTCTGAACATGCACTAAGCTGGTTTCTCTTCTATAAAACTTGCACTTATTTCACCACTTTTCAAGCTCTCACATGCCCACCATATTCACTTTGATCGATCACATAACTTTGTTTAATTTCACAGTTTCAAATCCCAAGATCGATCGATCGAAGTTCTAATTAGTTTCTCATCTTCTCTCTCCAATCTCTCTCTATCATGGCTGATATTGATTACCATACTAAAAAGCCACTGATCGATACAACTCCGACGTCGTCTCTGAAGCTCTTTGGCATTAACATTCACAAAGGTTCAGAATCTGATGAGGCCTTTAACTCCGGCAACGATCACCGGAAATACGAGTGCCAGTATTGTTGTCGTGAGTTTGCCAATTCACAAGCACTGGGAGGCCATCAAAATGCACACAAGAAAGAAAGACAGCTTCTGAAGCGAGCTCAAATGCAAGCTGCTCGTACTGCTTTTGCCGCTTCGCATCATACTTATATTCATCATCACAACCCAATCATATTTCCTCCACCTGATACCCTCACCGGATCGCCACCTCCGCCTCCGCCACGGCAGTCTCCGTGGCCGCACAGTGTGGCACAAAATCCACCACCTTCGGTGTATCATTCTGGGGAATTCGGTGTGTGTGTGAATTCTGGTTTTGCAGCAGGTTTGCATGATCCTTCACGATCATCATCTATGGCGGCATACGGCGGCTTTAATGGCGGCGATGGTGGCGAACGAGGCTTCAGTTTGGATTTGCAACTTAGTCTCTGATGAGTAAGGAGCATATTATTGACACTGAGATGCGCAAGATGTACGACAAGATCCAAAACAAGACGACACAATAAGGCTATATCAAGTTTGTAAGTATCTTGTCGGAGTTAAAATGAGTGTTGGATACAGTACTACTGTTTCATGTTTCGAGCACCAGTGCTTTTATTAATTAGATTTTGAGTTTCAGATGTGTTTTGGGAATTGATGTAAAAATCTTGGTTCGAATTATAAATCTGAAGCAAATGATATATATTCAAGCATTTTCAACACGCCCAAATCAGAACTTAATTAGAAATTGTTTTTCATTTTTTGACATATATACTTTTGTTCCACTTTCGCCATGTTTGTTATATAATTAATTAGTTTCAATAAACTTTTCCATAAGGAGAGAGAGCTATGGGAGAGAATGTGAGTACTATAAATATGGGATATAGGATTGCACGTATAGGAGCGTTTATGAAGAAAATGCTCCCATACCCGCAAGTCAATTTTCCCTAGCCTCTGTTCAAACACCTTAATTAGTCCATCCAATTCCAGTGGGTGATTGTGGTGCGAAGAGTCTAAGTGAGTTAGCAATTTATTTGCAGTGTCTTCGAGCAAGGTGATTTAGGATACTCCTTTTGTTCTTAATATAATACTTATTTAATTAATTTGATGAGATTAAGAAAATTAGATAAATTAGTTATTACAAGAAATATAACATATTTTTCCTAAAATACCATAGTCATCTTCCTTAATATCCCCCAACCTCCTACTTGATTATAGTTAAGGGAATATTAATAGCTGTAACTTAAAAAAATTTGATAAATATAAAAAATAGGTATTACATTTAAGACTAAAATTAACTTAATAATTAGGTTATATATTAAGGAGTAGAAAAGTATCACATAAAGTCCAAGTCAAACGAGTTGACTCGCCATTATGACAACTTTGCCTATGTTATGTTGGATGTTTTTACCCCACTATTTGAATTTATTCTACTGATAATATGGTGAATATGACTTGAGAGAGTTATTTTAATACAAATTATTGAAAGAAATATTGGTATCCCATAACAAGTGAATATGACTTCCTTCTACATTAACATTTGGGATCAAATGCTGATAGATGGAAAAAAATAATTCAAGGAGCAAAATCTGATAGAAACAAGTGTTATTTTTTAAGAAAACAATTTGTGACACGTTAAAAAATCAATTTTCTTAATTTTAACGATGTATTCTCTCTCTTTTTTGGTTTTATTCTTTTATCCAAAGAAAGAAACCCACGCACGCAGCCAATGTATAAAGGGTCAAGTCACAACTCCATACTCAATAAAAACTTAAAGAAGGTTATTAGAGCTATTGGACCCAAAAAACCCGGCCATAACGAGGGAGTTATTTGTCCCTTAGTGGAGGGAATATATTGCTAATTATTTAAAATCATTATCTTGACTGGCTACTACTAAGGTTACACAACACGATAACATCACACAGAAGTGTAAATATCTCTGGTGGAGCATTGAAGTGAAAGGATCACGGGCAATTAGGGTTTCTGGCAGGACCTCCAAAGAAGAAGAAGGCGCCCCAATTAGGATCATCAGAATGGTCAGGCTGGATATCGTAGCAATTGGGACGATCAATGCTGGTGAAGAGATGAGTATTAGGAGGAACCATTTGGTCTTTGTGATCGGCAATCTTAATGTTGGCAAAAAAGTTTGCTTTTCCATAACCTTCTCCTGCGAAATGCCCACTTCCCATTTGGGTTGTTGTGTTTTGTCCATTCGAGTTTGTGTTTATTACTTCGCCTCCCCACTCTACCGTCGTTGCGTTGTAAGAGAGTTAAGAGAACAAAGAGGAAGGCCAATATCCCATCACTTTATCTTCTCCGTATTGCATCCACCAGTCTCCGTTTTTAACATCCTGTGCTCATCACTTATCACAATTAATAATCCTTTCATATAAAACATGTTTAATTGACTTGGGTAGATTAAAAAAATTAGATGAACTAGTTAATCATAACAAATATGACCCCGATATCACTACAAAAAAATTGACTTTCAGATGTGACAAAAAGTCACAGATGAAAGTATAAAAGTCGCCTTTGAAAGTTTTTAGCGCGACTTGAAAAGTCGTTGCCGTAGTGACCGTGGTTGAAAACTTTCAGCGACGACAAAAAATTCACCCCTAAAAGACACCTTCAGCGGCGACTTTTAGAAGTTTCAACAGGAACATTTGTCATCACTGAAAGCTACTTTCAGCTGCGACCTTATTGTCGCCACTAAAAGAACTTTTGGCCTGTTGCCGCCAAAAGTGACGCTAAAAGTAATGCCTAAGTAAAATTGGCTTTAATGATGCCATGTCATCATCACTGACGCCACGTCATCACTGGCCACCTCCACCTCATCACTGTCGGTCGCCACATCATCACCGACCAGACGCCACGTCATCATCAGCCACCTTCATGCCGTTGCCACATCACCACTCTCATGCCATGTCACCCTTCCCTGCCACGTCATTGCCTAAATATTTTCATGTTAAATGTGTCTTCTTCAAGGTTTGAACTTGTGACCACCTCTTTTCGTGTCCAATTTTCTTATCGTTGAGCTAGATTGAATTTGTTTATTATTATTGTAAAATAAAATATATATATTATTATATTATACTTTCATCGGTGACATTAGAAAGTCGCTACTAAAGTCATCGCAGAAAGTGGACTTTTAGTGGCTGCGGTGACTTCTTTTGTCGACGCCAAAAGTCGTCACCTGAAGTCTTTTTTTTTTCATAGTGTTATATGTTCCTAAAATAGATAATAGACTAAAAGTGAATTGAGATCTTATATTTATAATTCATCTAATCCCCTAGTTACACTATCTTAGGGATCAAAGAGATGGCAATGAGTAAAGGAAGGACACTATATATATACTACCTGCGATCCTTAATGTAGAGTTAATTTGATTTTTAATTTGGTTCTAAATATAAAATCTCAATCTATTTTGTCTTTCATATTTATCTTTTTTTTTCTAAAGTAGTTCTTGTAGTAGGTGCATATGTTACATATTTCATCAACATGGTAGTTTTATATTTAGTAAACATGATTAGCAAA